CTGCCTGGGAATCAAACCAGTGACTCTTTGGTTTGCAGGCCAATACTCAATCCACTGAGCCACATCAGCCAGGGCTACATTCTGTTTTCTTGACTCAAGACCCAAAGCTTATACCTCCACACAATTTACTTCTGTTAGATGAGAATTGGATGACTTAAAACTTTGTCTTGAATAACCGGCAACATGAAAAAGCACTTATAAGAGGCAAGATCTATAGACAACTAAGAAAAGCTTAAAATGAACTATATAGATAGTAGATAGTAGGATAAAATGCAATGAAAAAGATAGCTGCAGAGAGAACAGTAACACAATTAAAGCTTATGTGCCTGAAAAAAATCTTGTTTAAATGTAGGAGTGAATGAGCTTGGAAGAGAGATAGGCCTGGGTTCAAACTCTGGTTCTGCCTCCTGCTAAATGTGAGCCCATAGGAAACTACTTAACTTACCTCAGTTTCCTTCTGTGTAAAATAGGTGCAACAAATCTCTAGTTCACAGAGCTGGCGTGATAACTAGTGTGTAAAGTGATGTGGTAGGTAGTTACTATAAATTGTGGTTATTAGTATATCTGGAAAAGATTTCCCATTGACTTAAAAGTCATATTGTTTGTTTTAATATGAAGATAGCAGAGTTTCACATTTAAGAGTTCTATAAAGATTCCTTTTCCTAATTCATCTATCACATTGGCGGAAATACCATTGTAGGTTTAACTTGGCTAAGTCTGCTTCATTCATCTGTCGACAAGATTCAAATCCAGCTGACAGTTGTTGAAGCTGGATGGGACATAGCAGGCTGCTCCACGGCATTGCATTCACACCACCAAGGGTTTCTGCTACCAACAATGATATACCTCTGTCAGCCGAGCACAGTTATAAGGCTTGATAGACTGATATAAATAAAAAAGGCACTTGAAACTGGTCTTCTGACTCTTTTCTGGCTACAGTTACAAGACTTGTTTGATTCTGTTACCTGAGAATATTAGAATGGCTCTTCGTTTTTGGACAAAAGGATGAAAACACCACATCCCCTAATGACCCTAAAAGGAGTCAAAGTTCATGCAAAATTTGCTATATTTGAAAATCCTGCTGTCATTTTGCAAATTTGATCATGTTTTTTGCTTCTTATTGAAACATGATGCCCCTGCTGGTGTAGCTCAGTGGATTGAGCACTAGTCTGCAAACCAAAGGGTTGCTGGTTCAATTCCAGTAAAGGCACATGCCTGAGTTGCGGTCCAGGTCCCCAGTAGGGGGTACACAAGAGGCAACCACACATTGATGTTTCTCTCCCTCTCTTTCTCTCTCCCTTCCCCCTCTCTAAAAATAAATAAATAAAATCTTTAAAAAAACATGACTCTATTTTATCCAAAATAAAAGGTACCATTTCATGCCATTTGGAGTCAGGTAGCATAATGGTCAAAGAACTATTTCAGCAAACAGTTTTGATATCCAAGCTGGGTGCTCAAACCACTTGAATGGACTCCTTTAGAACAGTGATTTTCAACCTTTTTCATCTCATGGCACACATAAACTGATTACTAAAATTCTGTAGCACACCAAAAAATATATTTTTGCAGAGTTGACAAAAAAAGGGTGTAATTTTTATTAATTTACACTGAAAAGCTATAATTGTATTAGCTGTTGTCATTTTTTATTTGACAATCTAAAAGAAAAGAGGTCAGTGCCCATGAATAAGTGATCAGGTACTGCATGTTTTAAATATTCTTGGGGCACACCAGAGTGCCACTGCATACTGGTTGAAAATCACTCTTTTAGATCGGTTTTCTAATACATGTTACCTCTGTGAGTAAAAAATAGAAAAAAGCACCTGATATTAACATAAAATAGATTACATACATTATCATAAAAGTACTCCTTTGCAACTTTTTATAGCAGAGAAACTTGTAGCAATATCTTTTTGTCAAAATGGGTAAGGCTAAACAGTAAGATGAACAGCTTCCTAAAAAGTGAATTGATTTACATGATGTTTTATTTCAACTTTTATATTATAAATGATATCAATATGTAAGTTATACAAACTGACAAAAGAAGTGCTTTAGCCTCACATAATTTTAGTGTGATATAGCCAACTCCTCCAAACTGTATCAATGAAGATGTAAATGTAAGGTTCCTAAATTATATTTTATCATTAAGGTTTTTTTTTAAGTTATACTTGAAAGTATTACTTCAATGAAGAGGTAATGAAAAAGGCAATTTTTCTTTGCCTTTTTGAGAGGGTAATCAAAAATTGTGACTCTCAAAGACAAAGAAATCTGCCACTGTCCCTCAGGCCAACCAATGTACCATTTGTTTGTTTCTTTATTAGCAAATATCAGAGTGCCCTGATGCCATCTCTTGCACTATTGAGCACTGCTGAGAACAAATGACAAGAAAATACCCATCAGGACCAAGTTGTACTTCAGTATAAGCCACAGGACCACAAAATCTCAGGCTGGAAGGAAGTTGGGGGAGTTTACTTGATAGAGGTTCTGTGCCAAGAATTGCTCATCAGAAGCAAGACTAGCAAGACTAATTAATTTTTAAAACTACCTTTGTGCTTTACATTTAAGCCATTAAAATGGCAGCATAAACCTTGCTATTCTACCCAATTTTATTTGTAGAGATAAAATAAATAATTTTTTAAAACACAAAACTAGGGAAATAAAATTTTCTAAAACTAAAATTTCAAATTTCACTTTATGAAAAATAAGTGGAAAGAAAAATACACATAAAATTAAGTGATGCCTAAAATAAGAAGCTGCAAGTTACAGTTGTCAATAATTAGATATTGCATCTAAATAAATATAAAATTGATCAATCTATTTAATCATAATAAATGGCACTGTTTACTAATTTTTGTTCAGATGCAAGAAACAAAAGGGAAATATTTTATAAAGCCATTTAGTCTAAGCAAAGTTTGATGAAAAGCAAAAAAAAAAAGTATTTCCTTCCTTCTAAGAAAGAAATCATATATGGGGGGGGGTTAGGAATGGAAGGCTAAAGAGGATTTCATTACAAAGTATTTCACCCACAAAGGCCCCCACTATATGGGGTCCCAAATACTATGGCAAGAGTCCAAAGTATTAGCATTAGCAAGAGTCCAAAGTATTAGCAAAGACAGCATAATCAATATATATGTTTTCTTCTTTTCTGCAATCAATGTTTTTTCATTTTGTCAAATGGGAACAACTTGAATTACCTTTTAGTCAGTATGAGAACTCATTATTAAACTTTGTTTCTTGGATTTGATTCAATTTGCTAAACACAGTATAACTTCTTTAAAATGCAATTGAGATGAGGCAGCATTAATGCTTATCTACAGATCAGCTTGGTACATTTCTTGATCATACTTTTATTCATGTAATTACTTATATCAAGGACTATCATTTAACCCACGGCCTGCCAAACCTGTGTACCAACCAATGATCCATGTTAAAACACATTTATAATTCATAAGGAATTGGGATGATGTGGTAAACAGAAAACATTTCAAATCAGATATATCTAAGTGAATTTCAGCTTTGCAAACCCTTTCTGGCTGTGCAGTTTGGAACCTCAGTTTCCTCCCTAAACAATGAGATTGGTGACATCAAAGGGTGGCTGTGAGACAGACTGGAAGCAGTAAGCCTTCAGTGCCTAGAACATGGCCTGCCTGTTTGAAACTACAGGCTTCCAACATGTTAGTCCTCTGTTCTTTTTATATAATAACAGAAGGAAGAAAAATTGAGATCTTTAGATAGAAAACCCAAGATAGCCCCAAGAAAGTAAGAGAGATGTGGTTGCTAAATTCATGAAGGGCCAAAGAGGAAATACTAGAATCCTGAAAGTCACTGTAAGGCAGAAATGAGATTTAACTATCTCTTGGCCTGCTTAATACTTACATCCCCAAAGAGAGGCCTTGAACACTCTATTCTGGCTGTAATCTCCACAGTTTCCTCTGGGCAGTAGTGGTTTGTTTCGAGTTTTAAAGACAGAGGCTTAAATAAGAAGCCAAAGCACCAGGCTCCTAGGCCTGGGGTATGCCATCTGCCTAGCATTAAGCAAGAACTAGAAGTCAGTTACAGAAGCACAGTCACTTCCAACATGATTTATGCTCCATCCTTGAATGTGGCAGGAAGACTGCAAAAGATATTTAGAAGCCAATGCTTCCTCTGAATGAAGTAAACGAGTATAAGCTAAGCCCCTCTCCCTGGACCATGCTTGCCCTTCAGATAAGTTGCCAATGTGGAGTCTGTGAAACCTGAAGCAAAGTGGCTACTGGGGATGAGAAAATAGCTCAAGGCCGGTGATCATCACTACCATCAACATACAGCACACAGTACAAACACTGAGGTCAGACAGCAGATATCCAGGATATTACTCAAAAACACATCTAGCTCAAAGCTGACAAGATAATCTGTTCCTGTGGGTGCAAAGCAGACTGGAATGCTGCTGCTATGACCTACTCAAGGAAAGGAAAAAGAAAGTGCAACTCCCCAAGGGCTCCGTCTAGAGCTCTCCGTGCAGGCAAAACTCCAGCAGACTTCAAAGGGAGTGGCGCGTAAGGGGGAGTGCCGGACCAAGCCCACAGGGGGGTATCATTTCCATGATCATGTTGCCATCTACCTTCGGTGGACTGGCAAATGCAAATACTTCAGATGCAAGTTTAAACAGATGAAGAAAGAGGTGTGAAAGAGCTTGGAGATTTGCTTGGAAAAAAAAAACAACCATCCGAATTCCAGGAAAAGCATTTAATATTAGGAACTTCATAAGTTATTCCAACAGTCCCAAGAGAGTAATCAGTTCATGATGACATTAATAAAAGCTTTTTTTAGCTGACACATACTGCACTCCAACATATCACATGGCCACAAAATCGTGTACTTTAAAAATAATTTCCCAATGTGAAGTACTCTTGAAAGGGCAGTAACATTTCTCTAATTGAAATATAGACTGAGGTTTTATTCCAGTTTTAACATACGTGATCTTGATTAATGCAGAAGAGCCAAAATGCAGCAAAGGTACTTACAGGAGGACCTAGATGGTGAGGGGTGGGTGGAGAAGGCAAAAAAAAGGGAGAGACGAATTAGTGAATATGTGGAACATTAAATTAAATAAAAGATTAAATCATCATCGCAACCAACAGCACAATGCAAGGGACATAGAAGTCAGTGATTCTTAATCTTTTTTTTCAGAACACGAACACTTTGACACCATATTAGAAAAATACATTTACATCTATGTGCACACAAAACTTATCATTAAATTTCAAGAAATGTTCAGATTTCCTGAGGCTTGTTTATGAATTACTGAGATGTTCACGTATTTTAAGCAAAGACTGTCTAATTTATATACCTAAAAATGTAGATAAAATACGAATCAGTAGGATCTTTGGTCATTTATGGTAAACCAACTATAGAGCATTGATTTGTAAACTTTCTAAATTGGAAATAAGCTCATTATTCATTCTAAGAATGTTTTCATTCAATAGTATTGGCAATATATAGAAGAATAAGCCCTGATGTTTATGTAAGTATCTTTAAAACTATGTATTCTCATCAAAATACCAGCAAATTCTAAGAAAATTTCAACAGTTCACACACCATTTGTTCAATGAGAACATCAGTTCTGTGTAGCCAGAAAGTTGGGAATTAATTTTTATACTTTCTATAAGACACTGTATAAGCACAAAATTTTTACTTTTTTCCTCTTCAATTCTCTTTCTTCTGACACAAAGATCAATTCAGTGATTACTTGACTCCATTAATGTTTTGTCATTTCTTTTTCCTCAGAACAAATTTCTCAAGCATCCTCCTTCATGCAACTGCACTTTGTAAAGGGAATACCTACATGAGTTTCCAGTTACTTAAATTCAGTGAGGTTTAAAGATAAGTTTTGAGAGTACTCTTAAAGTAATTAAGCAGGCACACTACCCAAATTCTTGAATTTTCATAAACCCTTTCTACCTTGACATCTTTTTTTCGAAAGGAAGAGAAATGAGACCAAATAAAATCAATCTGTTCTCTGCTCTTTTTGAAAGACTAGTATTTTTACTATTTCAACCTTAGTAATTGATTGCTGTTAATACTGAGAAATACTTATTGAAAATAACATTATCACATACCTGAATCAAATCTAAAATTACCTTTCTCTTACTCGCAACTAAGAAACAATGGCCTCAAATAGGCATTTACATTCTCGGAATCTTTTATAAACGAGTAAAACAGTAAGTGAACTCACTGGCTTGCATATCTTGGTTTCAAAACAATAGTTTTTATCTGGCTTCCCTGTTTCACTTTGCATATAGGGCAAAAACTCATTGAGGTTGGCATTAGGACAACTGGGTGTGTTTCAGGTCCTTCCTGGTCACAAAAATCACCCATCCTGGCCGAATCACCTGACCGCCCTCACCTCTGTGTCCTTAAATACGAAATGAAAATCCTGGACTGATTTCTAAGGCTCCTATCATCGCTAAACTTCTATGTTTATACAAGAGGAATAAAAATTCTCAAATGTCGAAATGAATGAGAGTAAAGCATAAAAAAATTGTACCAGTTGGATAAAATAAGAATAAAGCTTTCCTAGACATGTGCCCTGGTGTCCTAAGGCAGATGTCTTCACAGAGAAGCTGCATTTGTGGACTGACCACCTATAAAGATGGAGGCAGGGGTGATGTCGCCCCACTGTGTGCCACTAAGAAACCCTCATTATATACTGAAAGGATGGACTTGATGCAATAAAGTAGCCAAAAATGAGTTACAATTATATTTTGCCAGCCTCTTCTTTGATGGAAATAAGAAGATAGAAAAATATGCTGGTTCTAGCAGAGACTTAAACCCATGTGCATAGGCAGGCGCACACGCACACGCACCACCTCCAACACGATCACTAATTACGAGGAGCAGATGCGGTAACCTAAGCACAACACGAACGACACAGAGCAGCGGAGGGGGAGACTTACCAGATTCTCCTCTTCGGCCTCTCTTACCTCGTTTCCCTGGAGGGCCTGAAATACAGATTTTTTTTTTTAAATTTTTGGTTCCAAAATGGCTATTAAATCATTTCTCTATATTTTTTTTTACCGTTTTTAACTAAGAACACCTCCCCCAAAAGGAACGAGATATTTGTAAAGGCCAGCACTGTCTTTGGTGTGTCAACATAACTCTTCTGCTTCATTTCCCTATTAAAGTTGTGCTACCTTGCTTACCACCCAGTGTTACTTAGGGACACTAAAAATTCAGAATTTGTGTTCCTCCTGCCCGAATGCCATCAATAAAGAACAACTTTGCTCAGCAAACTGGTAGTGTTGAGTTTCATGCTTCTTAGGCAAATTTCTTTTCCGAAGGTTTTGGTATAATTAATAAAAGTAGTAAGTACGAATGACTGGTTTCTCTTCGGTAAATTCCAACATGACTCTCTTGAAAATATTTCGTTGGCAGTTAGTTAAATGTATATGTTAGTCATGAAAATAACCTGACAAATATTTCTATTTTGTTACATGTGAATTTTGAAATATTAGAATTTCTCTAGTTGAGAACCAGCCGAGTTAAAATCACAACCCTTTTAATTAGAAAGTGTCTAGGTAGTTAACTGGTCTCGTTTTACTAACTGGCTAGCTCATAATTCTATTCATTAAATATTTAGTTTTATAATGATTGCATTTTAAAAGTAGAAAAAAACTTTTTTTAGTGAGCTGCCCATGAAGACCACCAAGCTAGTACGTAGCAGACTTAGCAGAGTCTAGACATTCATGGCTCTCAAGCCATTTTTCTCAATTATGTAATTTCTCCTCTCATTTCCTTGTGCAAGACTAGTTCCCATTGAATTATGGTTCCAGCAAATAGAAGGGAATAATTAGCCCACAATGAGAACTGAGGTCTTGTAATATTTGCTGGAAGAAAGAGGCCAAGGAAAATACAGAACTCCCTGGTTTTAAAGAATGAGCTGCTAAGTTGGACTGATGACTTCCAAGTTCTACAAAGTTCAAGACACAAGCAGCACAGGCTTTAGCATCCAGCAGACCCTGAATGGGATCCCAAGCTACGGACTTCCACATGGAAACACTATCATGAGAAATAAAAACATCAGCGGGCCAGTTAGTTTCCTCTCAAGCCTGTACACAGAATAAGTCTGGCCAACCATGTTTTGTAAGAGGTTACAAACAAACAAGCAATAAAATCAATCAAAAATATTAGGAGATGCAGCTTTGTAGGGGAGTCGGAAATTGCCTGTATTCTGAAGTACAAAAAGGTTTTCATCATATTTGGGACATTCCTGGCCAGATTGGAAGCAGAGTATTATGTAAACAAGTAAATAAATCCAATGAGACCCTAATGAGTATGGAAAATATACATTTATACACACACTCAAACACACATACAAATATATTCAGGGGCAAAAGGAGGTTTATAGTTGTTCATAGAGAAAAAGACATGCAGGTTATGATTTATTACAATAGCTTTATTAACTGTGTTTTGTGTCCTCACAACTGTAAACTTACATTTGCAAACTCCTTTACTGACATATTCTGATATGTAAAATGCCTGTAAGATTAAAGATCAGATTTTTTCTACTACAAAATCAAATAAACTAAGAAATTTTTAGCAACAACAATATACTGATGATGTCTGTGATCTGCAAAGTAGGAGTTATAGGTGAGGAGTAAGATGTGTATCTGCCCTGAAGAAGCAAACAAATTGAAAAGATTAAAATATACGCATGAAAAATTCATTAGCAGCATGTTGTGAAGAGGGTGCAATAAATTTATGCTCTGCTTTATTCCTTCTAAACACAGGGTCAACTATAAAAAGAAGAAAACATTTTAAAAGTATCTCTATTCAAAAAGAAATGGACATACCTACAGGCAAGAAATAGATCAGAAATGTAAAATTGAGAACAGGGATAAAACCATGGGCCTGCTGGGTTCTAGGAGGAGGCACGATGGCCATGACTTCTCCTGAAAAATAAATGCTCCAAAATTCTCTAACCAGAGCCAGACTATCTATCTATCTATCTATCTATCTATCTATCTATCTATCTATCTGTCTGTCTATCTATCTATCATCTATCTATCTATCTATCTATCTATCTTTAATCTACCTATTATTTTTAATCCTCACTGGAGGTATGGTCATGGAGCTTTAGAAAGAAAAGAAGGAAGCGGTAAGGAGGGAGGAAAGGGGAGAGAGAAGGACAGAGAGAGAGAGAGAGAGAAATATCAGCGTTGGAAAGAGACATCACTTGGACGCCTCCCATACTCGCCCTGACTGGGGATTAAACCCATAGCCTGTTAGTGCACAGAATGATGCTGAACTAACTGAGCCACCTCGCCAGGGCCAGGCTCACTTCCTAAAGCCAGGGGCATGGACATGCTGAAGAGATGGTGCAAAAAAATCTATGTGTATGGCTTAAAGGTTGAGGAATAAAAACATTATCTCTCAATCAGAGAATGAAGTAAGCAAGCATCTGCTGATTTGATGCCTTATTCTATGACATCCCCAATAGAACTCTGGGACAGGAGCCCTAAACTGTCCTTGTACATTAAGTCTGGTCTAGAAGGCTGGGCAGTCAGGTAAAGACAAACATAAAATGGTTAAATAAGAAAGGGTGAACACAGAGGAAAGACAGGCAGACACACAGACAGAGAAAACTACACCAAAATAAAAACCTCTCTCCTATTCATAATTAATATACAAACCAAAATTCCAAAAACAAAGAGGACATGATTTGGGGTAGTAAACACATAATGTATAGATGATGTATTATAGAATCGTATACCTATATCATTTTATTAACTGTCACCCTAATAAATTCAATAAAAAAGTAAAAACTACAACATATGACAAAATCTAATACTAAGAAAGAAGTACTCAATAATATCATAAATTCTTTCCAAGTAAAATTAATTCTCTTTAAAAAAACATCAGACAAAAACTAATATATTAATTAAGCTTTAAGAACTAAATGAAAATTAGCAACCCATTAAAGGGCAGGGTTTTAAATGAAAATATAGAGAGAAAAAAAATAATTTGAAAGAAAACCCTTTAGAAACCTGAAAATAAAAAATACAGTCATCAAAAATTTTTAAAAGATAAACCAGTTAAGTGCTAGCCTGGATACGGTTAAAGAAAGAATTGATGTGGAAGATGCAGAATGTGGAAACCCAGAGAGATGGAGCCAAAATACACACACACACACACACACACACACACACACACACACACACACACACGTGTCATTTATCTACTACAGTCTGAATATTTGTGTCCCCACAAAATTCATATGGTAAAATTATAACCCCCAGAGATGATGGTATTAGGAGGTGGGGTTTTTAGAGGTACTTAAGTCACAATGCTAGAGCGCTCATGAATAGAATTTGGGCCTTGGTTTTTTAAAATATATTTTATTGATTATGCTATGATGGTTGTCTCAATTCTTCCCCTCTGCCCCCCTCCACCCAGGACCTCATTCTCTCTAGCAGTCCTTCCCTTAGTTCATGTTCAGGGGTCATGCATATATGTTCTCTGGCTACTCTATTACTTATACTGTCCTTAACATCTTCTATTTTGTACCTATGAATTTGTACTTCTTAATTCCTGCACTTTTCCCCCTATTTTCCTCCTTCTCCTCCCAACTGATAACCCCCCAAATGATCTCTATGTCTATGATTGTGTTCCTGTTCTGGCTGTTTGCTTACTTTGTTATTTGGATTCAATTATTGTTAATTATGAATTTATTGCCATTTTACTATTTATCATGTTGATCTTTTTCTTAGATAAGTCCCTTTAACATTTCATATAATAATGGCTTGGTGGTGATGAACTCCTTGAGCTTTACCTTGTCTGAGAAGCACTTTATCTGCCCTCCCATTCTAAATGAGAGCTTCGCTGGGCAGAGTCTTGGATGAGTCCTTGCTTTTCATCACTTTGAATATTTCTTGCCAGTCTCTTCTAGCTTACAAAGTTTCTTTTGAGAAATCAAGCAGCTGACAGTCTTATGGGATTGCCTTTGTAGATCACTTATTTTGACTTGCTAGCTGAAGTATAAATTCAATCTTGGGAATCCTATATTGAATTCTGGGAAATTCTCATCTATTACATCTTTAAAAAGCTTTTCTGTCATTTTTTGGGATTCTTTTATTGATATAAAAGTAAAATTTCATTTCTTTCTTTCAAAATTTGTTATTGTTGTTCAGTTACAGTTGTCCTAGTTTTTCCCCCATTGCTCTTGAATGGATAGATTCATGGATAGTGTCTAAGTCTGTTTGGGCTGCTGTAACAAAATACTGGCCAGTTATGAACCAGAAACAGGGTCCTCGGCAGAAGGCAATCATCATGACTCCTTGATCTTAGACTTCCCAGCCTCCAGACAGAAAGAAACAAACTTCTGTTGTTTATAAGCCACCCAGTATTTTGTTATACCAGCCCAAACAGAGTAAGATACTACCCATGTGTCTATCCATTTTAAGAAACAAAATTTTACTTAGATCAATAAAAGAATCCAAAATAAATTTTTGGAAAGCCCTTTTAAAGATATAATAATTGAGAAATTTCCAGAATTGAATACAGGATTCCTGAGACTGAATTTATACTTTAAGTGGTGAATTGAAATAAATCATAATTAAGTACATGGAAGGAGAAACTTAGGAATATTGAAGGATAAAGATAAAATGCTAGAAACTACCAGAGGCAAACTTACGAAGGGAAATACTTTTTCTGCTCATCCGTAACAAGATGCCAAGGAGCCTTTGATTTTTATGACAAGTCTTAGAGCCTATAATATATTTGTTTAATAGAAGTAGTTCATCACATTCCCCTAAAGAACATTCCTTTTTAATAGAAAAATGTATTAAGTAAAAATATGAAGTTGCATTAATACTTTAAAAATAGTTTGAAATAAACTTGAAAATAATATTTAAAGAAAAATCAGTGTAAAAAAAAGATCTATAAAAATGACTTTTTAAGAAATAAAGAAACAAAGATAGAACATGTCTACCTAAATATTGAA